AAAATGCTTTTAGACAAAATCTCATATACTAATAAAGCTCATTAAATATACTTTACAACCTTATTTTTTAAGAAAAAAATATAAACTTTTAAAAGTATCTTTCATTTAATACTTCATTGATAAAAGAATATTAAAGAGAGAGAATATATGAAAAGGATAATAATAAAGACTATCATTAATAAAACTTTATTTTTATTAAAATGTTTATATTTTGGAACGCTGAATCTACCCTAAAGTGTCTTACAATTTGAGATGAAGTAAATATTATGGAATTCATTTTTAACGTGAGAGATTAGGATCACGTACGGTTGCTTCTACTTTAATAGTTTTAATTAATTATAAATTATAAAACCTCTTCTTGAAATGAGTGGACAGATGTAATTGATAGACCCAATGTAACTTTAATGTTAATTAATTATTAAAAACAGTAGGAGAAAATATTAGCCCTAAATAAGTTAGCTAGGGATTGGAATGGTAGATTGGTGCGTGAGAACTGCAGAGGCAACAAAGCATCGCTTTAACAATAATACAGATTGATGGCAAAACTTGCTAGCCAGTGACCAATATTCGTACGAAGCACAAGACAAAAATTTCCCACCTCATATATTTGGCCTCCATGCAGCACGTGCTCTTTATTCTATGGAGTATGGACCATAAAATAAATAGACATTTAATATGATTTTCATATTACATGTATCTTCAGCATATTAATTTTAAAATTTAAACTCTTTATATATGTGACCATATCTGACCATGGATATAAATAGTACAAATGATCATGGTGTGATTTTATGAAGGTCAAGATAAGCGATCTGTGGGAATCTGATTGTTAGCTAAGTAATATTTCAATTTAATTTGTTTTTTTTTTTGTAATCAAAAGTTTAGAAGAGTTGGTTGGGACTCACCAGGATCAGGATATGTTTTTGAATTCGAATAATGTTTGTAGTGGTATTTACACATTCCATATTAACAAGATCCTCATATTGAAAGTAGCATTTGATTCCATGATTTTATAGGTTACAGTTCAAGTCATTCACAATTAAACTAACTTTTGTTGATCAATAATATTTCAAGCCCTTTTGATTTAAGATTCAGAGCATGTACGATCATTTAAAAGAACTTGATGGCAGCAGGATTTGATATATATTGGGGAGGTGGTTAACGACATCATGGGGTCACAAGACATGTGGACTTAACAAGCAGCCTCTCATGTTGTCCCTACTTGCATTCGTAAGGAAAGAGAACGATGCACAACTGGCATGTACATGTGTTTGTGTGTGTGTGTGAGAGAGAGAGAGAGAGAGAGAGAGTCCCATTATTGGTTAAAGAAATTATGAAATGAGCATGTTGGAGAGGTCGGATCTGATGGACAGGAGTGAATACAAGGAAAAAGGGCAGTGAGGCCCCCACGAAAGAAAAAAAAAAAGTGAGGGACATGCATAACTAAAAGTTTATTTATACATAAATGGATCGATAAATTTTTGATAGTAGAGTGATGAACTTTTAAGATATATTTGGGCCCTTTACTGCCCTTTTCCCCCTTGTTGGGACCCTTACTGGCAAGAAGCTGACAGATGTGTTGGTATTAGGACATGGCATGTTTTACCGGTGAATAATAGTAATGAGGGGAACATGATGATGATGATGGAGCAGCATGAAACGGGTGGTGGTTGAGGGGGACCAATGGGGCAAGGCTACTTGCGAAGCATCTTCTTGCCAACAAGAATGGTGGTAGGGTCAGTGGCTTTATGTTATTCGGGTCTGTGTTTGGACCCTGGAAAGCTCATGATGACATGTTTTTGAGAATTGTCAATTTTTTGTGCTCGATGAATTGTACATCTGGCCGATGTTCTTCTTGTTTTTTTTGTTTTAATCAATGCCGAGTCTATAGTGTTCTTGGATTGGATCCTTCCACGGGCTGACCATGGCCTCAGTTAATGAAATATTGGGCATGTTTTTTGGTCCAAAACATACCTTGCTTTGGGTTGGGCCAGCTCTATTCAATTGGATTTCCTTTGGGCTTTTGTTACAAAAAAGGCTATTCTTTTTTCAGAATTAACTAAACTTTCCAATTTTTTGTATCCAAACAAAAAAAAAAAAAACTGCCCAGTTTTCATGAACCCCTTCTGCAATTCAAAGAAGAAAGAAATTCGGGGTTAATTTCAAATTAATCATATAATGCAAATAATTAGTATGGCTATTCTTTTATCATAAAGGACAATTAAAAACCTTCACATTTACTCAGGAAAAAAAAAAGATTAAAAACCTTCCCCCATGCACACACACCTTATCTAGTCTTTTACCGAGGTAAGGAAACCCACACGCACAAGGGGTCGACCCTGTAACCTAAATTTTAGATAGTGTTTGATGTCATTGTGGTATTGCTAACATCAACAATAATAACAATTTCTCAAACTTTTGCTTGCCTTGTCATTCGCAAAGGAAAAAAAACAATAACAAATAATCTTGTATGTCTCACTAAATAATATTGGACCGATGTCATTTTTTTTGTTAAAAAAAAAGGAAAAAGAAAAATAGTGGGAGGGATGGGAAGGTGAGTTGTTTAAAACTTAAAATTTGGGAGGGGAAGTGGGGATTGATCTTTGTCGCATCCTGTCGGCCGTGGTCAGTCCCACTGCCAACATTTGTTTGGAAAACTTGTTCCCCTCTTTGGCTTTCCCTTTTTTTGTTTATTTTGCCTTTTCACTGTTCCTCACACAATCATTCCCCTCAAAAGCATCCTCCCTTTATCTCCTCCTTCCCTTTTTCATTATTACATTCTCCTCATTTACTTTTACTTTGCTTCTCCATTCTATTTAGTTTCTCATGGAATCAACTTCTGCCATATATTTCCTTCTTATCAACATTAGATTTGTCACATATAATATATATATATATATATATCTCTCTCTCTCACTACTTAATTAATTAATTCGTTTTAGATTTAAATTCTCACGTTGTATATGATAAAAGTTTCATTCCTACTTTTTCTTTCTTAATTATAATGTCTTCTATCTGCTTTGCAGTGAAAACAATTTTCTTTATATGTTACTAGTCATACATAAAGACTTCAAACCATAAAACCACCTCTATCATAATTAAGTTAATTAAATATTTGTAACACTTGTTAGATAGGATCCAATGCTTTGATTAAAGTCTAGAAGAAAATGAATCAGACTTTTCACTGCTTGTGTGGTTTGTTGCAGATTTTATATTTAACACTCATTCTATGAATTGCTTCTTTCATCCCAAATTATAAAATAATTTTAGATAAAATTAAACATATCAATAAAACTCATTAAATATACTTTATAACTTTATTTTTTTAAAATAAAAATATAAACTTTTAAAAATAATCTTTATTTAATACTCTATTTATGAAAGAATATTAAAAAAAAGAAATATAATGGCAAGGTAATATTGAAAAAGTACTATTAGTGAAATTTTATTTTTATTAAAGTGGCTTATATTTAGAACATCAAATCTCTCCAAAAAAATGTCTTATAACTTGGGATAGAAAGAGTACTATGAGACATTTTTCTTAGAAGTTTATGTTTCAAGATACAAGTCATTTTGTGAAACTGTAAAAGCAATCATAACACGCACTCTCTCTCTCTCTCTCTGTGTTTAATGATTGATATTAGATGTTAAGAGGATCAATTGTAATCAGAGAATGGTTAATTTGGAAAATACGTGGGATATCAACAAAAAAACTGTCCTTTTTTTGGTTAAAAAGAAAACTGCCTTTTTAGGTGAGCAAGTATTAGGTTAAAATGTCTTATAATAAAAAATGGAGGTATCTTGATTTTAAAACTAATGAACACATATTTTACTATAATTCTATTTATAAATCATTTATAATAAATATATAAATTTTTTTAAAGGGGAACTTGTCGTAATAAAGTAATTATATGATTTACATATAAAAATATTTCTTCTTATTTTTTTTATTGGTCTTATAAATAGAATCAGTACACACACAAATATCTTATATTCATGATTTGTATTATGAAAACTATATAGCATTCCTAAAAAAATAGAGATTTTTGTTTACAAAAAATTAAATATTGTCAAGTTGGTAAATTATAACATCTGAAAATCGCTTTACTCGAACAACTTTTAATGACGGGGGGCTTCAAATATCAAGAACATAACTTTTTCCTTTTTCCACTGAACTTTTGACGAAGAATTTGCTTAGCTAACTATCATAATTTTGAAGTTCCATTCATGAATATGCTCCTCATGTCTCGTTCTAAATATTTACTGGCTTATCAATGTCAAAAGAACAGTGAAGAAGATAATTATTAATAACCCTTGTGAATAATTATCGACCTCCTTGATTAGCGAACCCTAGGATTAATTAATATATATATATATATAAAAATCATTACTGCTGAAAACACGGGGAAAACAACTAAAAAAAGGGGATCTCTTACAATTAAAAGAAGGTGCGAAGCAATCCAATCAAATCTATTGTGATAAACCTGAAAAAAAAAAAGAAAGGAAAAAAATTAGTGCCCAAGAATGAATGGTCCTTGATTTGAGAAAAAGAAAGTTTGACGCTTGAACACAGCAAGAGTCTATATCTTCAAAAAAGAAAGGAGCCCACACAACAGTGTCCATTCTCATTATCCCACCATAAAAAAGATGAAACAAAAGCACACCAAAAAGAAAAGCAAAAGGCACTAATTTATAATTGAATTTTAAATTTAAAAGAAAGCATTAAAGATAAACCCCACATACATTAAATAAAGAAGGCCCTAAAGCCTAAATAGCATCATTAACGAAGAGGAATTGCTAGCTAGTACAGACTACAGAGTCAAAACAAACATCTCTCTCTCTCCCCTCCCATCTCTCTTTTCTCTCTCTTCCCTCCGCACCATTCATAAAGTAAGCCAACCGCATAAAGCCATCCCACAAACGAACTAAAACATTCTTTCTTCTACAAAGGAGCAACTTCAGACAAAACAAGGTAAATCTCTTTGTTTCTATATATCTATATCTGGAGTCATCTTGCTTTTCTCTTTCTACTTCTTCTTCCTTTTTCCCCGCCTCTGAATTCATGGGTTTATCGTTCAGTGGCCATATGGGTGGATTTCCCTTGCATGTCTTTACTTTGATGCACCATTCTCTTGACTATTTTATTCTGGGGTTTAGGGTTTGTTCAAAAGCTGACACTATTGCATCAAGTTCCACTGGTTTTAAGCTTTAATTATTTGAATGTTCGGTTTCATATTCTTCTGCCTAAACACACAAGAGAGACAAGCCCTACTCTTTTTCTCTGTAATCGTTCCAAGATGAAAGAATCTCTCGACGTATTAACTCCCCAACTATATATGCATCGATCTTTTTCTACCAGAGAAAGTTTTGAGTCTTTTGATTAGGTCTTGAAACAAAGCACTGCTATGGTGCTACCTGCCTACCTGTCCTTTTACTTTTTTGACTCATCTGCTCATGTGATTACTTCTGATACAATAGGCAGAGAAAAAAAGGTGCGTTGTTTGGTTATTAATATTTATTCCTTTCAAGTTTTAATTAATCCTTTATAGTATTAATTTCTCCTTTCTCCACAAGATAAAGAAGTACATGCCTGATTGAATCTTAGTTACTTTTCTCCTACAGCTGTAAATACTCATCATGTGAAAATAGCTCTCCCAGAACATTTTTCTTCTCTATCATCAATAATTTATCAACTTTGTATAATTGTATTAGCAGTATTGGAGTTGCCAGTATGAGCAGGCACAAATGGCTAAACAACTAGACAAACTCTCGCCTTACTCATAGGTTTGGGTTTGAATTCTCTTGAAACCATCTAAAGTTCCGCCCACTTGATGCATGATTTCATATAATTCTACATGTACATGAAAAATGTGACGATGTGTGCATGCGCGTGCTCGTATTATTAATCTACATATTTCAATTTCTCCTCCTTTGGGTTTTTTCAGGATATATATATATATATATATATTATTTGTGGGAGCTGTTAGGACTGAGAAACCATGGAAGGAATGCCTAATCAAAACTCAATGGCAAAGCCAGTAATGATAGAGAAGAAGGCAAGGCCACAAGAACAATTGAACTGTCCAAGGTGCAGTTCAACCAACACCAAGTTCTGCTATTACAACAACTATAGCCTCACACAGCCCAGATACTTCTGCAAGACTTGTAGAAGGTACTGGACAGAAGGTGGGTCCCTCAGAAACATCCCTGTTGGAGGAGGTTCTAGAAAGAACAAGAACAAGGTCATCACATCCTCTTCCTCTTCTTCATCAACCTCATCATCATCCAAGGTTCCTGATCTAAATCCACCATTGCCAAGCCTCTCAGGGTTGAAGGATCCAAGTTTGAATCTCTCCCGAAGCCCGATGATGAACCAAAGCTTCCCAACTAACTGTACTATTTCCGCCCAGCAAAGTCCTAAGATCCATGGAGGCCAGGATCTTAATCTGGCTTTTCCCACTTCTTCTCTTTCAGCTCCTAGGGTTTTGAATAATAATATTCCTTATGTTCCCTCATTCATGATGCCAAATAGCTCACCGTATAGTAACATTAATTACCCGTCTGGATTAATTCCCATGCAAGAAGAAGCTAAACCCAGCCAGCTGGGATTTTCAGTGGATGGGCTTGGAAACAGATCGTACGGAGTACAAGAGAATGACCATGATGGCGGGAGGCTTTTGCTTCCTTTTGGAGGAGTCAAGCAGATTCCAGGTGGTGATGAAGTGGAACAAAATAATAAAGGACAAGGGAATTCAAGTGGGTTTTGGACTGGAATGATTGGTGAAGGATCATGGTAAGAAAATGAAGAAACCTATATACAGTTTTCTTTTCTCTATCTTCCATGCATTGTTGTGAAAAGATTAAGTAAGAACATCTTAGATGTTTGCTTTCAGATTCTTCAATAAAAATATATATAAGACGCAGGGGATTTTAATTTTTTTATGAAAACCTCAATCACGTTTCGTGTTCTTGAGTTGTTAAACATACTTAATTGTCATGCTTTTATTGAAGAAACTGATGACAAACATCTAAAAAGGTTGTAATTAAGTGTTGTTCGACTGTCTTCTGTATGAAAGTCTGAACTGACAAAAGCATATATACTTATCAGTTGCTATGGTTTGAAAATCTTCTCTTCGACTTGGTTGTTAAATAGGAGAAAGAAGTGAATACAAGCCTGCTCTCGTGTGAGGCGCGCTCGCGCGCACACAGATATATGCACACTCTCTCTATGTATGTAGATCACCTTATTATTGATATATAATGCTTTCAAAGTTTTGATTTAAATGACTTTTAGTCTATCATCGAGGGAAGATATTTATTCGAGATCGTGACATATAATTGCTAGAAACTTTTGGTTCAGTGCTTGTGCGTTTCCCGCTACGACGTCTCAATCTCTGTCTCTGAACACATTTATTAGTAGGGTTATATTTGTCAGTTTTCATTTGATGTTCAAATTCTTGCACCTCATTTTTATTAATTCATTAACATCATATATTAATAAGTGATTTATACATAGCCAGCCCACACACACACACATATATATAACTTGGTCAAAGTGATCGTACTATATGAAGTTTGTCGTTTAAATATCACGCCATTCATTTCAAAGTTTAGATGATGATAATTTGAAATGAAATTGATACAAGCTTTGAAGTTATTTGATTTTGAATTATAAGTGAAATAGAATCCTGATGAAGATCAATATTATTTTAAAACGCTAATCCACCCAATATTGTGAAGTTTGATGGAATGGGAAGAATCGGAGCTTATTATGAGAGAGTCAATTCAACGAGTGATGATTATTGTCTATGTCATGTCCATGTGTCCACCAACCTTTGATTGAGGAAATATATACACAACTTAAATTAATTTGAGGAAAGACCCGAGAAAATTCTCAAGAGGGCCCACCATGTCCTTGATTTCTTTTGATATATTAGTGGGACCCTTCAAACATTCCCTTGTGCAAGTCGATATCATTTCTTCCACCCAAACACAATTGTCAATCGTTCACGTGTAGGCCATTCATTGAACTTCCCCCTTTCCTGGGGCTACACAGCTCACGTCGGAGTACCGTACATAAATAGAAAATTACTACATCCATTTTAAATTATAAAACACATTTAAATAAAATATATCATTTTAAAATATAAAATATTTTAAAAAAATTAAATTTTTATTAAATAAATTTATTTTAATATTACTTTTTATCTCTTTATATTTAATACTAATTAGGTGTGAATTTAAGGCTATTATATAAATTGTATTTTTAAAAATTTATATTTTTATTTTAAAAAATTAAAATTATTAAGTATATTTAATGAGTATTACTGGTATGTAAAATTTTATTTAAAAATATCTTATTATTTGAGACAGAAAGAGCACAATTTAAAAAAAAAAACTCATACCATTAAGTCTTTAAAAAAATTATAACCAAGGATCTTGAAGAGATGTGTTCACAATTAAAAACTAATAAATTCTGATTTAATACCTCCGTCTTTGAGGTTGTAATTGTAATTAATTGTGATTGTGAAATACTTAATTGCTCTCAATGTTTAAAGCCATTTCCATAAACAGATTTGAGTATATTCATGCAGTGTCACTATTCATAAAATAACAATATTTTATTCTATTTTAATAAGAAATAATTCTCATAATAATAAGTACATGATAAAATTATTTTCATTATTAGAATTAAATATATTCATGTGATGAACCAATCACAATTCTTAAAATAACAATACTCCATTCTATTTTAATAAAACATGATTTTAATAGTGACAAATCCAACAAAAAGTCACTTCCATTGACATAACTAAACAGATTCACGTGGTAAATAAAATCATCAATCATAAAATAGCAACACTTCATTTCATTTTAATAAAAAATAATTTTCATAATGATAAGTTCAAAATAAAAGTCATTTCCATTGATAAAATTAAGGGTATAAATATGATGAACAAGTTACTATTTACAAAATAACAACATTCTATCACATTTTAAGAAAAAATAATTCTCTTATAATTTATCCAAAATACAACGTTAACTAGAGGCAGGCAGTTACATATTTTCACAATCTCAATTAATTACAACTAAGTCTCCAAGGCCTACAGTGTCAAGTCAGAATTTATTAGTCCTCAAACATGAATATATTTCTTTAGGGGTTCTTGGTTGTGATTTTCTCTAAGGCTTTCTAAATAAATAAAATCTGAACGAGTTTCTCCAATTTTCTATAACTTTTTTCTTTTGTCAACTGTGGGATGTAATTGTTCCTTTCCTTTTTTTTTTTTTGTCTTTTTAAAATTCCTGTTGCAGCTTTGGTTATCCTCCTATTTTTGACAAATGTTGTAATGTGGAGGAGATCAAAATGGAATGCTACTCTATTTTTTTTATTTGATTGGATCAGATTTTGGTCTTGTTGAGTCCAATTAAAATTATTTCTTTCAAAGACGTTTTCTCTATTTATATGAATTTGAACTCAAGATCCTAGTACTTAAACCATCATAACTCATTTCACTAAAACTAATATGTACTGGTGGAATGTTACGCTATTTTAAAGCTGAAATATGTCTAAATTACTTTTTCTTGAGCCAAACTTTAATATGTATGTTTGGATTCTAACAAGTAAAACAACTACTCTATCCGTCCAATAATAAATAAATGATCAAATTATTTTTTAAATTTTAGGTCTAGTAATACTATAAATTTTGAACTCATTTATTATGTAAATTATTTCCTAACTTTTAAAAACAATACAATTTGATTCTTGTCATTAACAAAATTTAATTTTAACTGTTAATTGACCCAAAAAAAATAACAGAAAAAGATATCAAAAATTACAGATAATGAACAAATTTTTTGTCCTTATATAATTTTTGAGTGTTTGTCTATAATTTTTAAATCCTTTATTGTAATATTTAATGTTTTTTTATTAATTAATGATCAAAATTAACTTTTGTTAACGTGGAAATCAAATTGCATCATTTTTAAAAATTAAAAAAATAATTTATATAATAAACGAGTTCATAGTTTATGGTACTACTCAACCTAGAAGTTAGAGGGTAATTTACTCATATACTTTTATTTGATTTATACTTTCAAGAAGTTTTTGATAACATACCTTCAATAAGTTAGTTAATAGCATTTAAATTTATATTCTGTTCATGTTTAACGTTATTTAATGAATTGTTTTAATTAAAAAAATTTATTAATTAAACTCCTAATTAATAATATTTTAAAAAACGTATTAATTACATATTGAAAAGACCCAAAATATCTTTATAGTATGATACTTTAAAAAAAACTGTCTTATAATACTAAATAAGGAAGTAATATACTAATATTCAACTCATTTTCAGAGAAAAATAAAATCAACACTAATCTTGAAACTGAAATTATCTCTCGGTCATCGGAACCCTAAAACTATTTTCAAAACTTTGATCATTGAACTTTTTTTTTTTTGCCAATTGAACCAACAATTAAGATACCAAGCTTCATTCAAGCAGTGAGAACAAGATGGTTAACAAAGTTTTCTATTAACTTAAATCGTCTCCACTTCTTAAAATATGCACATTTGTCAACTCAAATTGATATGAGTAACAAGAACTCTAGTCTGATCCTTCAAGTAGATGGTTGAAATTTTGATTTCAATTTGTATGTAGAGCAACACTAACCGTGAAAGGTCTTCCTCTTCATACCTTGAAAGAAATTCATCTTTATTGTGGACTAAATATACTACTGGGTTAAAGTATAAATTTGTTCTCAAATTTTTTTTCAAAGACACAATTGGTATTCTAAAATATTTAAAAGCATAATATTACCCTTATATTTTTCAAAACGGTACAATTTTGCCCTATTATTAACAGTTAACATCAGCTTGTTGAGTCCGTTCACCATCCCTGCCACCCTCTCCCCCTCTAACCAGCAGGCATCCCAATCAACCTTTGAAGTGTGAGAAGCTTCCTGCTCACCGGATTCAAACATGCAAGCTAATCCAGATTAGATTTGGGTTCCTTCCCATCTCTGCTATTATTGTTGTTGCTTGAGGGAACATCGCTACCATTAACGATGGAGGAGATGGTGGCCGCAAGCATTGCAATGAATAACTAAAAGAACCTGTCAAACACAGTGAACTCAAAAACAAGAGCTTTGTAAACGGCGGTCATCTCCAGGACGAACCTGTTGATCACATTGCGAGACACAGCAGTGGTGCTATCCATGGGATACTCTTGCCATCTGAATCTGTTCATCAGAGACGAGTCGACCGACGCATCGTCTGACTTGAATATCTACCCTCTAATCGCCTGGAAAGAGTGAGCCAAGTTCGGGTCCGTGAACTGCGACTGGTTGCTAAAGAAGAACCACCCTAACTTCGGGTCCTTCACCAATAGCAAGTTCAATTCTAACCCATCAACACTACTGATTTCTAGATTGAGCTTCCCCATCCAACCTAGCATGTGTTCGAAAGAACAGTTAACCTGAAAATTTTGATTTCTTGAACCCCTTATAATTATGCCTTTTTTTTTTTTAAATCTTTGATTCAGCTTACAATTTATGTTTTTCTATTTGTTCATTTCCACTATGATGTTTGCATTCTGGTTTGATCTCTAGTTTTTAATTTCACCCTCATGCTGATCGAAATTCCGAATGTTTGTAGGGGAAGATGATGAAGGAAGGAAGGAGAAAATGATAATGTGACTATAATTTTTTTTAAAAAAATCACTTTCAAACCTGGACTCCATGCATCAGCTTGGAAAAAAAAAAAAGGTATTGTTTTGAAAAACATTACGATGATATTGTTCTTTTAAATACTTTAAGACATCAATTGTGTTTCTAGAAAAACTTCGAAAGTATATTTGTACTTTAACCCTGTACTTTTTAGTCTAAGGAAATATAAATAATTTAGAAGGTATGCTCTAGAGTGCAGAGATACAATTAAAAAGAATCATTGTTACAAGAACATTCAACTTCATGGCCTATCCACCTTTTATAGGGTGAGGGGGACAAATTATAAGTTGCAGACAATTTTCTCTACGATGGAGGAAAAAAATCATTTACAAAATAGCATATATTAATGACATTCCACAAATAAAACTCAACACTTCCTTGTAACCAATTACTCTGTTTCACCAGCTCATAAAAAATAACTCTGTTTTTCATCGTGTATTAACAGGATTTCACAAGTACTGCTGTACAAGAAGGAACGGTGTTCTGATCCTTTTAAATCCAAAGCAGCTTCAAGTGGGGAAAATCCAGTTGCCATGCATTCTGACTTCTATAGTCCATACAATGGTACTGCTTTTTTCCAGAACAAGAAAACAACAATTGAAAACACTTCATGAATCAGCGTTAATTCCAAAAATTCGAACCTTATGCATGTGGGGGAACTTGGCAACAACGAGTACAATCACTGCTACAGTGTTGAAGAAGAGCATCGGCTGCTGATAGTCCGTTGTATGTGAGGCTATCAAGTACCTAAACAAGAAAGGGAAAAGACGAACTTAATACTGGATTGGGCATGAGTAGGGGAAAAAACTTCATACGTTATTTATTTATTAATTTATTTTCATCAATAAACTTTTCAATATGGATCACTCTTGATCCCCATAACTTACATATTATCCTTAGGTCAGTTCCTTTAGAAGAGACTCTCTTCTCTCTTCCATCAAGATGGACAAATTTGTCAGCAAATTAACTACCCACAGAATTCATCTAAAAATAAAATTGCGAGATTAGATGGGCAATCATACTGCACATCCACATCATGTTGAGAAAGCAACATGTGATTCAGAAATAGAATCTTCAGCCGACTTACATACTTTCAAATTCACAACTTGTGTCAAGTAATTAATGGGTAGATAATTGAACTTTTAATCTCAGCACTGGCAGAATTATAGTACAATCCTCTTAATTATCAAACCTCCCCAAAAACCTCCAATAAATTCCAAGTCAAAGCGAGAAGCATTGAACATGAATATTTACCATGACATATACGATGAAGGGAAGCAATTCACTTAGACCTAACAATTCACGTTCCTTGCACCGTAGTTGCTTGGTTTCACAACTTTGCCTTTACACCTGCTATAGGATAGAATTGCGTATATAACTTATCTTTTTAAGGGAGTCACTACATCTGATACGGAAGAAGAATAGACAACCCTTTTCCACTGTTGGATATCTAAGGCCCTGTTTGGTATGTGGGTCTAAATTTAAAGGGATTGAGATAGGAATTGGGAGTGGGAATGAGGCTTTAAAATTATGTTTGGTATATGGTAATAATTGTAAGGAATGCTTATTTTTATTTTATTTTATAATTAAACATAAATGATGAAAAGACTATAATACCTTTTATAATTAATTAAAAAAATTGTAACCCTACAGCCCTCTTTTCTCTGTCACAATCAAACTCTACACTCCCTCCCCCTCTCACCCTGCTGCCGTCGACTGTGGTTCCTTGGTCACTCTCCTGGACAATCACGGTTCCTCACTAATGGGTCGGCCAAATCATTCCCAACTAGCTCTCGCTCTCACTCTCATATGCATCTCTTCATTACCTCCTCCATCGTTCTCCTTCTCTACACAGATCAAAAGTTGATCTGTCATCAATGGTTAATGGCACTTTGCCGTCAATGGGTATTTGTCGTTGATGTTCTCCTTACGACCACAATGGTTACAATGGTTACAGCACATCTAATCTGCATCTCCTGCTTCCACTCTACCTCACTTCTTTGTTGAGCTCCATATTGTGAAGGGGTGTTAGTTTCCAATCTGGTATTCTGTGGTTTATAGATTTTGTTCATGCATTGTTTTGTCCAACTTGCTAATCTCCTTCCTTTCCTCTGGTTGAAGCTCCATCATCATGTTTCTCTCCTCCACTACTCTCCATCACTTTATCACTTGGTAAGCGCGTCCTTTACTCTCACCTTGCCTTGGCTGGCTTGCATTTTTTTTTCCCTTTTGCTTCTCTGTGATCTGTGCTTGCTTCCTCCCTTTTGAGCTATTTGGGAAGGTTGATTTATAGCATAACATGATATAATAGCAGAATCAACGGTTCCCACTAAAAATGATATAGCATAACGTGATATATAATGCATTCTCTAAGCAGTCAGTGTCACTGATTTGAGTGATTTCTTCATTATTTTTATCTGCTTCAAATGTGTTCCCACTAAAAATGGATCAATGGTTCCGAATGAAATCAATTTTGGCACAAAAATGTGGCATGTAAATTATTTAGTAAAAGAGAGACAAGGGATGGAAGGATAAGAGAACAGATAGAAACAGGGAAAGAAAAATAGAATAGAATACATGGTAGCTTTAATTTGTGTGGGCACCAGTTACTATCTCTGTTTTAATAGAATTATGTGGCAAGTTGGTCCTGGCAGGATAGAAATGTTGAACTGAAATTTCCATGTCACTTAATCCTGTATGGCAATAACTACGATAGCTGCTGGCACTATGTACTACATCACGCTCGAACCAACTGATGGCGGGAAGAAAAAGGTTTATGAAGCCAAAATTTGGGTGAAGCCATGGCAGAACTTCAAACAAGTGCAAGAATTTAAGATCCTTGGTGATGCCCCTTCTGAGTCTTCTAGCTAGGTATTTGACTACACAGCACAATGTGCTGTGGTCGAATTTAAAAGTTTGAAATGTTCACTGTTATCTACGTTTGTCTTCTGAGGGAGCACAATTTCTGCTTGTTTTTAATATTTAGAACTAGCCAAAGGAACTCTAAATCTTGTTTTAAAAGTGTTCAAATTTTAGCTCTCTAATGTTTAGTGTTTTAAAGAACGTTTTTAAAGAACGAAAGTATATGGAATTGTTATTCTCGGTTGTTATGTGGAACTGTTATTCTAATGGAATAAAACCAAAAAGGGTTGAAGAACATGAGAAATAAGTAAGAACGGCTCAATTCCATATGCTAGTAGACTATATTTTTTCCTCTGTTATAAGTTTCTATCCCCAGACTGACTAGGTGTTCATAACAATTACACCTACCTTAAAATTGAATAATCTCATTGTATGCTCTCAATTACCCTTCACCCATTCTTTTGTATGTCTTTCTGCTGCTCATTAACAGAACCTGTATGATTCAGCTTTAAGCAATATTAGCTGTATTGTCCTTTAGTTATGCCTTTTGCATTTCATTGCTTTTCTTCGTTTAATAATCCCATTTCAGGTATATTGATTTTGGTTTTACCATCACATCTCTGACATTTGAATTTTAATTATTGAAAAAAGAATTTCTGGTTGTTTTGTGATGAACCTCTCCTTCACATCTGAATTTGGGGTTTGATGTGCCTTCAATGCCTCTTGTTTAGTAAGGTTTGCTAAAAATATGATTTGGCTTTTACTTTTTTCAGGTTAATGCAGATTCTAGGTCCAACTTGGCTTGAAGGTGGAGTTATTAGGATGTCAAAAGCATGATATATAAGGAATCAAAGTAGCTAATTGATTTAAGGCTTTTGTTTACTTTGTCCTGCTTTAGGAAATTTCTTGTCTTTGCAGGTTGGAGGATAATCTATCCTCCAAGAAGTTGTACTTTCTTTTCTTTCAATTAAAATTACTTTTAGTTAAAAAAAAATGCATGGTGATGATTGTACTTTTATCCCTTTTAAGTTGATAAAATAAGAACCAGTACTATTTCCTAAAAACAGACCTGGTTTAATAGCTGATGTAACTATACTATGGTCAAGAAACAAGATAACATTGGAGGATTGTGTTGATTTTAAAGGCAATTCAAATGTACACGATTTTTCACAAGTAGATGAGAAATCATGAAGCAGAGTGATAAAAGTTGAAATTCCATCATGGAATAATATGAATCACCCACATATCAGCTTTAGAAAAAATGAGTCATACATATGAAACAACAGAGATCTGAGATGCATACAACTCCCTGTACCATAGCACAGCACAAATGATGAAGGGAATTAACAAAGAAGGAGAGAGGTAAACTTACAGCACCAGAGGGACAATTGTTAGAAACTTTCTGTTACGGGTAAGCTGCTTTCCATGATCTATCTGCTCCCACCAAGTCAATCGATTGTAGATCCCCTGGTCCTCAGCAAAAGGAGTTCCTTTCTTCCAATGGAAAAAGTGATAAGTTACCTGATGGTCAAGACATGAGCAGTCAAGTCATGGTGAGACGAGAGGTCCACTAATATAACATTCATACATTAACTGACAGATAGAGAATTAAATTATAAGTTGACCAAATCACGAGATATTAGAAAACAATGCTGGCCTTCCTGTGGCCTTATCAAGTGATGAATGATTGAACATGGGTTACCTTACTGATTTAACTAAGACACACAACAACTCAAAAAAAGAAGAAAAGGCAACACATTTCTGAAGTCTTGCTACATTCGACAAGCAATAAACGTTTCATAAGACAACCAAGTCCAATGGTATCCCACTTGGGAACTCTTGGTCACAGCTTCAGACAACATAAAACTTGAAATATGATTTTATAATTTGTCTTTCTTTCGGATGTTTGGCACTAACGGATAAACTTTGATACTATGATATTTCTTTGTTGACCAAAAAATGAAAAATGAAAAATGAAAAAGGGAGATCACGAGGTATCAAAATCATGTATTCTTTAATTTCTTTGTTCTTTTTATGTCTTAATAGATTGACTTCAAACTGATTTCCAATTATTCATAAGTTAGCCTAGTCATGAGATATATATTTTCTCCCAAGAAACAATTTTTTTTTTTTTATGACAGTGTTTACTTCATTGTTAACTTCTTGTAATAAATATCATAAATTTCAGCAGTCCTCGCAAAATGCAGTATTTCCAATTCGCTATTCTTTTTATTTAAAAAAACGAATACAGTTGATCATAGGAAAAAGAAAATGAACCACAAGAATACAAGTTTATCTGCAATTACATGTAAATCATTGTTCTAGTTTAGTACCCAAAATATAATCAACTAGTACTTGCGGGGCCAACACAATCCAAAAGGACTTCTGGAACTCCCAAGTTACAAGCAAGGGTTGTGGTTCAGAACAAAAGAAAGAAAGATTTTTAAAACAGCCTATTCAGTAAGAAACATATACCAAGGGTGTCCCGAACTACTACTCAAGATTGGTGTCGTTATTTTGTAGGACAGCAAAAAGCCACATAGAAGTGTCTAATACTTTAAAGAGCTCACAATGATACGTTACAGAACAAAAACAAGCAGATAAATATGAAAGTGTACAATTAATCGAGAAACATCTGGCCAGAAAAGTCTGGAAGCTTAAACCACACGATTCCAATTCGGTGCTCATTATTGCTCAAGAAAAGAATCGAAACCGGCAAGAAAAGATCCCTAATCAGCAAGATAACAGACCATAGAGATTCAAATTCAACTCAAGCAAGCATCAATTAAACAGTACTATACACCAATACTAACAGAACCACGACTGCTAATCGAAGGAAAGGAATTTAAAGATAAGCATACAACAAAGTGGGCAAGGTTGACGATAGTCCAGGCCATGCCAGGAGAGCAGCCAAAGACGGAGAAGACCAGAAGCCAAGAGAAAAAGAGGATGAGGATATAGGTGGTCCACACACCCGGATACGTGAACCACTCGGTGTTTTTGTTCAGATCGGTCGGTGGCATAGCCTTGACATACAGATTCGCCATGAATTCAAAACCTAAACTTTGGAAGAATTTTGGATGATATCAGTTAATGGGGTTCAAATCCAAAACCCAGAAAACCTATCACGATCCTCTCTGTTGTCTCTTTTCCTCTCAATCAGATCAAATGCAACCGAAATTAAAAGCTAAGATCGATTAGGTGGCGATATAACTTGGAAGAAGAAAATTCCAAGCAATGCAGAATTGCGGGCTGTTGGGGTTTTGACAAAAAATGTCACACGACGGTGGCGGGGCCCCACACACACACACACACACCATATGTCAGGGGAAATAACGCCTAGGGACCTTATAAACACAGTAATAACAATTACATATATTAAATTATTAAAATATCAATAAAAGAATATAGTCCTTACTTACAATTAAAACAAATGTAAATGCTCAATTGAAAAAATTACTAACTACATTTAAAATTATTTATAATGTCAGTTAAAAATTTATGAGAGTTAATTAAAAATCTCAATATTTCATTGCTAGTACATAAATAAATCACTTAAAAAATTAAATAAATATATTTAAAATTATTTATAATGTTAGTTAATATTATCTTCTTGAGTTTCCAGAACTAGAGCTTGCGGGTGCATATTTTTCATTGTTGCATGAGCATTGTGCACATAGATGTTAGCAAAATATATTCATTACACAGTTTTCCTTCCTTGCCCTTGCAGCTCATTTAACTACATACAAACCTTCTAGCGATATCTTTTACGTAGTTAAAGATTATTAATTATACTTACCCTTCTAAGGTGAGTTATGTCTATTAAGAGGGAAGAATATATAAAATCAACATGTTTCTAGCATGTTTAACCTTGTAATGATGATTTTTTTTTTTTTGACATACAAAAGACAGGCTATAACCTAGACAAAGTTTATCTAATAAGTAATACTAAATCTATCAATCCAATAAAAGGTAGAGCAACTAACAATAGGGTCCATTTGAATGTAGAAATCTTTCTCTTTTTATTGAGCATCTTTCACTAAAAAGTCATACATTTGTAGATTCTCTTTGTTGGAATAAAAAATCTCCACTTTCCAATTAGAGTATAGCAAGTTCTAGCTTCAATAATATTTGGTTGTAGAAGGTGCGCCAGTCCTTCCTCAGTTGAGTCAAGTAAAATAGATAAAGTTAAATGTTGTTAAGATTGTGCTTAATTGAAAAAGAAAATAGCTAATTATTGAGGATATAAAAGTGGTATTTTTTAGTGAGTCTGTGCTAGATGGGTAGTAGGAGGACCTATCTATCAATAAAATACTCTCACTAGTTTCTCAATTGACTTGGTCATTGGGAGAATTAGTTTTATACTTATTGTAACATCCTAATTTTTATATAATAAAAAAATTATAGAATTTAGGTTTTGAGGAAAAAAATGATAATAATAGGAATTTATATTATTTGAGGTTATTTAGAAATGATATTATGGTTAGGTATTTAATTATAAATTTAAAAATTTAAATTTAAAATCACATAAGCAATATTTAGTTAAGATATAATACATAAATAATTTTTTATTGTGTGTTAAAAAAAAGAGAGAAGGTAGAAGTAATAAAAAAAAAAGGGGTGGAAGGTTGTTGTTTCTAAGTCCCACATTGGTTAGATGAGGGAAGAGAAGAGGTGCCTTCATGTATAAAAAGGAGGGGGTGTGTGCATTAGGAAGCATGAGAGGCTAAGATGCAATTTAGAGAAAATTGTAACTTTTGGCCCAAAGGTTTGAATAATTAAATTCGAACCTATAGTTTTTTTTTAATATAATTTTGGGACCACAATCCCATTTTTATATTATTTTTCTCTCTTCCTCTCACGTTGCTCGGCGTCTTCTTGCAAGGGGGGATTATTTTCTTTTTCTTCAGGTATGTTCTAACTTTCCTGTTTAGATTAGCATTTAAAAAATTTATTTAATTACAAAATTAATTTTATAGTTATTTTCTAAATAATATTAGCTTTTTAGTGATATGATTATTTTGTAGGATAGAGTAAATATTCTTATTAGGATTTTTTTTATAGGATAGTTAATCTGATGATATGATGGATTAAAAATATAGGTTAAAACTCTTAGGGATATAATAAATATTATAGAATATTTTCTTGAGGTTAAAACTCATGTTTAAGAATTTTTGAGTTAAAATCTAGATCTATATGGTTGAATTTATGTGAAATCTGAGATGTAAGGATAAACCTCTGATTATTAGATATTTATTTAAGTATGAATAGGTATTTTTGAGGTTATAGAAAGGTGATTTGAGGTTTCAGGATAATTTTAAAATTTTTAATTTATTTTTGGATGAATTTTTAGAATATAGAAGGATGAAATTGTGATACTAGAAGTGATTTGAGGATAAAAAAAATAGTTTATTAGGGTACGAGAATTTTAGAAAAAGAATTTGGGAAGTTAAATGAGGCATAAATCTTAAATTAGTATTAATATGGATTATAGATCTAAGACTTTCTAATTCTTTAAATTAGAGTTATTTATTTTAATGTAAAATTAATATATAGTATTGTGAAATAATTATGTAGATTATATTGACAAAGATAGTGGTAAAAAAGGAGTTGTGAAGGGGAACTTGTTATTCAAGACACAAAGTAACCATTATTAATGTGTTGTGATGAGTGTGTTTGTGAATGGTTATGTGTTGACTTGTTGTTTGGAAAAACTATGAATTATTGAAAATAAATACTGTTATATACTTGTTTGAAATTATTGCCAAGTGGGTCAAAATTTTATTTTTATTTATCATGATGAGATATTATTGTTCGGATATATTCCTGTTTGGATATTTGAACGATGCATGACTTGTCAGGGTATTTTAATGTATGGTGTTAATGGGAATTTCTGTTCGGTTAATTATTACCACGTGGTAAGCCCTCATTGGACCCAATGAGTGGTGTGTCGCTTGGTCTAACTCACCTTTGGCCGGGTGATTTGGCGTCCGAGCATGGCGAAAGGAGGATATAAGGTGTAGTCATGCAAATTAAATACTTGTTCGGTTTGTTTGAAAATATTGTTCGATTAAATGTTTTGTGTGCCCACTTAGCAATCGCATGATTAGTTACAATCGCATGCATCATTACATATTAATTTTTGGTTACTGGAACTTTTAAGTCTCATTCCCCGTGATTAATATTTTTACAGGAGCGAGTCCGGCCGAGAAAGCACTAGAGGTGTAACTATGGTGTATGAAACACCATCTTTTACGTTGCCTCTTATTTTGGATTATACAATGTATCTTGTGCCAACTTAGGACATATCTTCTTTGTGAAGCATGTAAACTCTAATCCTTTTTATTAAAAGTATTTATTTGACCAAGAGGATTATATTTGTCTCTCTTGATTCATGACCTAATTTAAATATCATGCCATGAGGATCCTGACTGTCCCTCATGGTTCTAATTGTTTAAGACCTGTAGTATATTGTCTTGGATGTATCATGGTAAGAAAATTTTCTACCATGATAATGGTTTTAATAATTTGCGAAAAATCGGTTTGTATTTTTGAGGGTGTTACACTTATTGACTAGTTCTTTAAGGAGGAAGCTTAGATGTGATGTGTGGCAATTGAATGGAAGTTAAGAGAAATGAAGAAATTGAGTATTTATAAAATTAGCAGTAGAGGAAAGGTTTCAAATTAAATGTTGCAAAGAATATTATTTTTATAACAAGTTAGATTGGGTGGTGCTGGTTTTGGAAAATGACTGCTCCTAGGTACATTATAAAATCATGGAAAACTTCATGACTCTATGTGTTATTTCATATATGTTGCTCTGGGATGCCTCATGAGCAGTGAAGAAGTTAAGAGATTGAGGGTTCCTAAGGACATTTCATGGCTTGGTGCTAGGATTAGGTTACAACTGACAAAGTGAATTGGAATCGCAAAAAACAATTACACTAAAAATCATTGTTATCTTAAATAAATCACTTAAAAAATATACTAAATATAATTAAATTATTTTTAACGTTAGTTGAAAATTTATAAAAATCAATTATAAATCGCAAACCAATCACTTATAATTTTTTATCAGCACCAGGGAAGTCAACAAAAAATAATTAAAAAATTTTGTAGTACTAGTTAGAAATTTATTAAAGTCTATTATGAATTTCAAGCTAATTAATAAAAAATAATTTATTAAAAGTAAGGATTATGGTCTATTATTAAAATTTTAATAATTTAAGATATGTGATTGTTATTAATATTTTTATGGAATCTCTAATTATTATTTTCCCCATATACTTTGTATCTCAATCCCACCTAGAGTCTTTTCATTTTTTTTTCTATCCATTAAATTTTTTTGGCCAAAAAAATCCATTAAATTTTAGATATAATTAGTGTGAATCTTGTTGATCCAAAAAAAAAAAAATTTAGTGTGAATCTACGCAGGAAGTTTCAGAAAGAAACAATGGCACAAAATGAACTGAAGTGGATTGTTTATAATTCGTACAAAAAAAATGTTATTTGTTAGAATTTTAAATTTTTAAAATCATTTTTTACAATTTTTGTAATAATTTAATTATATAATCATTAATACAAATTTTTTAATAAATGAAAATTCACTGTCTAGCAAGTAAGGAGAGAATTATTATTTTTTGCAAGTTTAAATTATAAAAAATAATAAATGAATGCTTTAATTTTTTTGAATCATAATGGACGTGTTTTCCCTGTACAAAGCTTAAACTGATCCACGTTATTCACGTCTAATGAAAAATACAGCTTATTATAATTAAATTCTATATTAAGGGAATTACATAAAAATGCATGCTTTCATGCTGTTATTTAAAATAAGAACTATGTGATTTATTAATATAGTTTTTGTTCCAAAGATAAGAAAAGGAAAAGAAAAGAAGTAAAAGTGAAAGAAAGAGATACTGCAAAGCTAAAAAAGGTCTAGATCTCATTCGATGTCTCGCTGCGTAATTTATCGCATGAATCCCGCATTTAACAGAAATTTCTAGACAAATTCATGTATTATCACCCGCCTGCGTTCATCATGTACTACTATATATATACTTTCAAAATTTCAAAATATGAAGCATTTCAACCAAGGAAAAAAAAATCCTAATTTGTAACTGGATGTTACTAAAAAGAGAAATATTGGCGACTGTCCAGTGACTTATCCATAGTGTAATTTGAAATGGGATTAACACTATTTTATAGCCATCAATGTATATATTCATGATTTAAATAGTATATATTCCATCATGACATCAATTTATTTCCGCTTTGTTAATGATTTTTGGATGGATGCACCCATTAAAACAATTTCATGGGTGCCCTCACACTTTTATTCATTTTGTTCATTTAAGAACATTGAGTATCCTTGGAGGAAAAATTCGAAGGTATTTTTATCTTTTATTCCATAGTTTTATAATGTTGGGAATGACCTGAAGGCGGTTACTATGCAAGGTAGGATTTATTTTCAAAGCATATATGCCCAAGAATGCTAACTTGCACCCTGCAATTGAAAATGGAACTAGAATTTTATTGATGCATTTCGTTATCATGATTGAATTACCAAAACTAATCAATCAAAATGGAACTTAGTCCTTCGGCCATCTAAAGTGGGTTCTTGAGATTCCATTTAAAAATCAAGAAACAATATGATTAAAGTCTGGTGCTATGTTTGGATGTTTTCATAATTTAAATCAAAAACAACTACAATAATATAGTCTGTTAAAGCTATTATATCTTGAAAATTTAGAGGTGCAAGGGCAAACAGTGTGGGAGAAGTTTAAGGACAATCCACTTCTTGACATTTCCACTGAGCGTCCAACCACATATTACGAGGACATGAAACGAGCTGTGTTTTGTTTGTCTCCATTTGGTGATACAATTCCATGGGAAGAGATTGGTGTATTTGTTGACGAAGAGGATGCCCCTAAGTTGGATAGCATACTCACTTCCATCCCACCACAAGCAATACTAAGGCAAACCCTTCCATGAAGCAAGCTATGCTATTCCCTCAACCATGAGATGCTTTCCATCAAGTTCTAAATGGACTTGAAACCAGGGGAGAAGATTTTGAACTGTGGGTGACCTGAAACCGTGCTAGAGGTTATACCACTTTTTTCTTTTAGGCTATTAGGATTCTTTATGTTGCCTGCTTAATCCTCCAACTGACCATAGTGGCCGGTTGTAACTCACATGCCGGTTTCGATATTCATTGTACATTTTGATAATTTGATAACATGTCCTTTTGCACCTATCATGGAGTTTTGTTTCCGTGTTATACCTTGCTTTTGATGCTTCTTTCATCGGACATTTAAAAAATACTTCCGTGTGTTTACTTCAGTTGTATGCAGATGAATCGAGGAGTCTAGCTTGAGATTTATTCGCTTTATATACAGTTGACAAAGGTTCCCCTTTAAATGGAACATTTATTTTCAAAGACCTCGCTCTGCTCTTAATTAATCATCTCGGCCCTTGCCTCTTTTGCCAATAAAAAAGCAGAAAGAAGCAGATGATGCAAACACATGGAGAAACATAGCTCTACACATAACTTTACAAGGATATGCTAGAAAATTCAAGCAATCTTACCGATTCAGAAAACAGCGAGCTATTTGTTGGCCATTGCTTTTAATATTGAGCTATACTATTGACAGTAAGATATTACTGTGGACTAACTAGAGACCTACCAAAAAGTGTATTGCAACGGTGTAAAAATATAACAAATACAAATTCCTGAAAGGCACGATTTGGAGTCCCTTCCCTCCAAAATGATTCAAGGTCATTTTCTTCAGTTCTCTCCATGTCCTAAGTCCGTTGCCTTCACAGCAGCTCCATCAAAGTATAACAAGACCAGTTGGGGAATATGGTTACTTCCTCTCAAAAAGATCCTGAAACAAGATAAATTCATGACGAATTTTTTTCATTCTTGCAAGATGAATGAACCTTCTATTCTTCTCTCCATGGATGGTAGAGGGGGGAAATTCAAGGGAGAAAACATATCATTGAAACTGGAGGTTGGAGCAGGCTTGAACTCATAAGGTCCTTCCTTTGGTCCCCAAACCTGAAATCAGATACGAAAATAAATAATGCCAAACCTTTTCCCCCTCAGATAAATGCCTATTCACAAGTAGCCATTACAGTCACATATTTTGACAAACTAGCTAAAAAAATGCAGAATCAGCAACAAAACTAACTTGATTTCCATCATCATCATAACCCCTATCCCAGGTATGCATCTCCTTATTTTTCATGACAGCAAGATCTGTAGTACAGTAGGATGCTCCATTCTGCAATAACAAAGGACAAGATATAATACAGAGTTGGAATAACCCCCTTGAAAATGAAAGGGGGTTTGCACGTTGAAAATGAAAGGAAGGAAAGAAAAACAATTGCGAGAAAAAAGACAAAATTTCAGAATCCAAGTTCAACAGGGAATGTAGTGCTAAGGAATTTGGATTCTATATAATATATTGATATATTGATACTAAAACCAGACTCAACAAAACACCAGCGAACCAATTTGTGCACAGAAAAGTGGTGCAAAGACTGGGGATGGGGACTGCAAGGAAATAGTTTAACCATAATTTACCCATGAATTAGGAAACCCGCCAGGAGGGGTTGAACCTTCATATAAGCAGCGTTTTCCACGTGGACAACGCTTAAGATGTATTGCTGTCAAATGCTCTGCAATGTCCTGCAAACCGTGCTACGCTTACTCAGAAGACAACGATGCCTACACAGTTAACAGATACCATTTATATCTAAAATCACTTCCATAACATACTTATTTATTTTACAATTTAAAATTCTAGAACTTTTTAATCTTTTGACAGTATATCATGTGTCATAATTTCATTTATCAAGCCATCTTCTATAATGTTTCACTAAGATCCTAAGATTTTCATCTGTCTAATCAATCTCTTTTCTCTCGAGACTCTCCATTTTCTTTTTTATTTTTTTCACTAGCCACCTTTATAAACATCCAAAGATCATTTCATCATCAATCTGATTTGCCTCTCTCTATCATGTGGTCGCTTGGACACACCAACTTGAGGTTAGAAAGCCAGTGATGAAGTTTCAATTAAGTTATATTGTATGAAATAAATATAAACTGTAATATTGTATGAAATAAATATAAACCATGTTGCTGAAAATCCCAATTAACTAATGTCCAGAAAAGTTTATATGGCTTTATGCCCTTAAACTAGGATCTTGGTATAGACATAACTTAATACTTACCCCAATGACTTCTTCTTGCTGTGGACGTTGACCCTTTGAGCGATCACAAAAATTTTTGTACTCCTCCATGTCTCTAATGGCATATGTACTTAACTACAATTAATAGAAGGTAGCTAGCATTCAGGAAATAATTCAAAACAACATATAATGTCCATTGATTAGTAACAAGAATAAGAATACAATTTTCTTCTAAAGAGGAGGTATTCAGCTTCCTCGACCAAGAGAACTTCAACAAAACCTAGTTACATTTTAGACACTTACTTTTAGTTGCCATATGAATCAGAAACATTCAAAAGTCAAAAAAGCCCAGAGGAGAGGTATTCTTCTGGGTAAGGGAGCATAAATAGTCCAAAATAAGGGAGTAGGGGAGAATGCATGAAAACATATACTCCTCCAGTTCTATTTATAGGGAAGAGAGAGAAAGTTAATTATGATTCCATCTATAGAGCACTTCACTATTTTCACATTCATTTTTACCTTTATGCTCTTATTAAATGCTAAGAAAAATTATTAAAATAATTCTTTTTGTCTTTATCGGAGGATAGAGATGGAAACTTATTAAATTTTAAGACAAAGTTAATAAGGTTTAAAATTTTTCTCAGTTTCAGTGAAACATGCTAAAAGTAACTTGTAGAAAGGACTAAAGGAAATTCTCTTTAAATATTTTTCCTTAGATAACTAAAGCTTCATTCCCTTTAAAGAAGTGATTCTCAAGGATAATGTGGCAAAATTTAACTAACTTTTGCGGAATAAACTCATCACAATTATTAAAAGAGGGGGAGGGGGCACCATATAACCTTAAAATAGCAGCCATACCAAGTTCCATACAGATAAATGCAAACAGCTAAAAGAACCACAATAAGGACATATTTAAAGCAGTCGCATACAAACCTCAACATCACATTTCAACTCTTTTGGACAAGGTTTCACCATTAAGAACCTCCGCAAGAAAATGATAGATGATAATTTAGATCGTGCATCATAGGGAAAACTAAAATAATAAGGTGCAGTGCGGCAAAATTCTGAGAAAGTCTAACGAATCAACATTGTGGAATAGTCTTGCTCATGTTCAGTTTTTCTCAGCCACTGGCTCATGTTCAGATTTGAAGTATGAAGAAAGAGAAAATAAATTTGAACAGAAATTCACATCAAACATGTGGGCTACCTGCCGAAATGGCTTTTGTGGAGTCCTCCAAAAAGCCTATAAACAAAGAAAATATTCGTTGAACAACTTACGAGATTTAGATCCAGAAGACAGCAAAATATTCACAATGGAGATGCAAATAGACTTGTATTTTATTCACCTGTTCAAAATACAGGACCTTTGAACCATCCACTAGTTCTGCCGCAGGGCATGTGAGCATTCTGCGAAAATTAGAGATCAATGATGCATTTATGATTGGATGCCTTCAAAGAAATTAATGAAATAAATTCAGTCACCACACCCTCCTGTTCTCCTTCTCAAACTGAAAACTCCACCGAGGGAATCGTGAAGAAATTATGGTACCACGGAATGGAGCTTCGGAAACGGTCAAATGTTTTGGTATTACAAAGGTGCTGAAGCTAATCATAACCTGAAGCTCCAGGGAGTAAACTAGGCGAAACAGAAGCTGCTAAAGGACAGAAAACGGTAACAATGCCAGAAATTGGAAAGAATAACATACCTAATATTGAAATAATTATCCGGATCTCTGGATGCTTGCTCTTTCGAATACTACACCAAAAAGTCTTCAAAAATTAAGCACAAAAATAGAGAAGAAGATCATTTACCACTCACACAACAAACTACAAGTAGTAGTAAAGAGAGCAAATATGAGCAGATGATTAACCTTTTCGCCGGCGAGGCACTGAGAGACAATACGAGCATGGTCCCAACGTGTGGTAGACTTACTCAGTCGCTTCACCAGAAGTGCACCTCCAAGAAGTATCAGAGTCTTCATCGCCAGTCCCCGAGAACGGTTCCATCCATTGGAATCGTTCGAATCCGACTCCTTACCCATATGAACTGTTCACTGTACAAATAATAATCCGCGAAATTGATGAATCATCTAAATCTAGCTATTTTTATTACATCCATCATCGTCTTCATCTTCACTCAAATTTGCGTTAATTCGCACGACGAGCAGACGGAAGCACAAAAAGAATCAAGAAACTCTGAAGGTGAAGCAGAAGACGGTTTGAGAAGAAAACCAAGTACCTTGTCGAGGAGCAGAAACATGAAAGGGGGCATTGCAGCCTAGATGCTTCGTCAATCTTCACTGGAATGTGAAAGGCTGGTCCTCTTCAACCATCTAGGGATAGAGGCACGGACCTCAACTTCGTTGCAAGATCACTTCCCCGCCGTCAATTGGGCTAACAATGATTAGTCTGAAATAAAACGAACCAACTTTATTAGAAGTATCTGAATAATGCAACACACACATGTATGTATGTATTCATTCCTCTCTCAAGTACTTCTAACTAACTTATTAAAATTAAAAAATATGATTAAATTATTAATTTTATTTCTATTTAAATAAAAATGTTTAAATTTGCATTGTATTCTTTGTTGATCAATGAATTTGAATAGGATTGATATTGAAAAATGCAATTTACACTCCATCATCATGCTATAACAAAACAAAAGACAAAATATTTACCAAAGTACTACGTTTTCAAAAATATTTACCAATATGCTATAAACTAAAACTAAATTTAATAAATATCAAGTTTCAAAATTTGTTATGTCAAACATGTATACAGAGCTTGGTTTTTTTAATACCAAGTTCCCTCGCAGCTGTCTTGTCTTTGTGATGAGCATAGTGTGCTCTGTAATGATCTACATTATTAACTACAATTAGCTCTACGCTCTATCAATCCTTAACTTTAAAGAGCAATCGTGGCTTTACAGTTAATAGAAGTAATAAAGAATAATATTGATATTAAGATCCCAAAGATGTTTGAGAGATAAATATATTAATGGTAATTTGTTGAAGGATCCTATGAGATCATTAATTACAATTAGGGGCCCTAAATTATTAAAATCTTAATAATTGACAAAGATATGAGTTTAAAATCATGAAAAAAACACTATTAAAAGTACTATTATAGATTGAGACTATTGTTAATTTCAACTAAAAAAACTAGGATCCGTGCTTGGGAATAGAATTAATAATAATCTCAATCCATAATAATAATTTTAATAATCCTAACCTATAACACTTAGAATCCTGAGTTTTTCAACTAAGATTAATAATAGTTTCAACACATGATAATAATTTTAGTAATATTTTTTTTAATTTTCTAAATGGTTTACCTATATATTAACAAACATAAAAATTCACTAGTAATTGTCTTCATATTTAGAAGTGATTTTGATAAATTTTTAAATGAGTATCGTACATTTACAAGTGAATTTTAGTTTTATAATTGAAAACAATACATTTTCAAGTGTAATTTTTGGTTTTTTTCAACTAAAATTAACCATAACCCCCAACTCATAATAATCATTTTAGTAGTGTTTTTTTTTATTTTAAGTAAAGATTATAATTCATTATTGAAATTTTAATAATTTAAGGTCCCTAATTGCAATTAATAATATTATAAGGTCCTTAATTGTCATTTTTTCAATAAACTAACCTCCAAAATTTTAACCTAAGTAATTAATCAAGACATTAATGGAAAATATTAACCTCTATAAAACAGCATAGCCCTTTCAATTTAAGAAAAATGAAAAACATCATCAATCTTTTGATCTACAAAACATTTATGAATACACTGACCTAATAATAGGTATTTCTGTCATAGTTGTCAAGAATATCACTTAATTAAAATTTTCTAATGAAAAAATAGTTTGAGATTTCTAGGATAATTTTTCATGATTTAGAAATATTAACAAGACTATATGAAGCGAACTAATTCATTTAAAATTTTAAAACATTAGCTCAGTTAATACAAAACATTAAAATATACAACCAATATATCAAAAGAGGAGGGGAAAAATCCTCCCAACTTGGGGGGAGGTTTTGAAAGGGAGGGGAGGAAAATTTTAATGAATTTTTCCTCCCCTGCAACCAAACAAGAGTAAAGGAACCTAAAATAAAGTTTCTCAGTGCTAATTTTTACTCACGACAATCATAATTCATAACTACACAAAGTGATTATGTGGATAAATTTTGGATGGTTCTGAGAGTAAAACTATATATGCGCCAATGACATCAAGTGTTTGGCCACGAGCTGATTCCTGTCAGATCATTTTCATGATTCGAGAATTAAAGTATTAAACCATGGAGATTTGTTTTTTTCTTGGGGGGTGTAAAGGGAATAAAGGTGATAGGTGAAATAGTCAGAATGGTTTATCAAGAGTGGAAACGAAGAGTGAGAATGAACCATGACACATCCACTCCTAGTCCTACCAACCACATCCTTAAAAAATGACTTGACTTTCCTGTTGAGAAAAGAGAAATCAAGAATCAAGCATGTTAAGCAATAAATAAACGATTAGGAAGACAAGTTTAACAAAATAGAACGAAAATAGAGGATATAAAAGTCACCCCAAGGTGATAATATTCTAGTTTACACCCCTTTTTTCATGTATCTAGCAGCTTATACAAGCGTAGAAATTGTTGCTGCTCAGCTCTTAATAATTGCAACAATAATGGCCGGCCAGATTTTACTCAATTCCTTTTTACAAAGAAACAAACTCAACCGACCTCAAACATTCAAGAAAGAGCTACTGATTCCCAGAAATAGGACCATCCCGACCTTTCTTGATATCATCCCAACCTCTTACCCATGGTCGGCCAGGCGTTGCTCTTGTTTCGGGGGCGGCATGGCTATCAAGGTTCTTCTTGACTCCTTCCCGGACAGCAGCAAAGACCTACAAAGCAACAAATGGTTGGCATAAGACGCGCAACCCCAAAGGAAAAACAGGCGGACGGGTGAATCTGAATTGGAATTCCATCATTAAAAACTCACTGGATTTGAGCTGATTGATTCAGGTGGTTGCTCCTGCCCGGATACCCATTTCCATAAATCAGGATTCTCCTGCAGAACAGAAATTAGATGTTTGTAGTGCAACGGACTCAAAGGTACAAAGATTTGAGATTTCAGAGAAGTATTGCTATCATCCCAGATATCATGTTCTATTTGGATTGTCTTCCAAATCAGATTCCAAACTTGAACTACTCTCTCCAACCTTTATGATGTTTGACAATATATACCAGTGACAAAAACATAGTCAATTATGATCCTTCGTAGCAAAATTAAATCTTTTGCAGACATACATCATTCAAAGAGAGAGACACATAAAAAAGAGCAACGGCAGATAGTGAAAAACACTTGATCCCTGATAATACAAAAATCAGGCCAGATAGAGCCAAATGAATTCTTCCATGATCTTATTGATAAAACATACAAAAATGACTGTGAAAATACCATATCCAGAACATGAATCAGAGCTTTAATCCGATTTTCATCCAAAGAATGGATATTCTCCTCTACCCATTTGCCGAGGACCAAGTCGAGTTCCAGGAACCCTCGTTGCTTGCTTCTATACAATAATCTACACATAAATGGAAACGAGAAGTAAATCAACAAGTCAGCTGTCATAAAAAACGGAAAATGGAGGAACCTATTCAATATAGAGGTGAAGAAATGCGGAAGAGACAGAAATATTTCCGAAGGGAACCTATTAAACAAGCGCCTTTTGCTTTCTTCGTTGGACATGTCTATATCAAGCGATTGAGAGTCGTTACTCTGGGAAGTGAATGGAGAAGAAAAAGCATATCCATAACGAGACCTGGAAAAAAGAAAGGAACAGAAAAACAATAACTCCCATTTCCATAAGAGAACGATTAAAAAATAGACACCAGCCAGAGTAGAAATTTATAGGAAAAATATATGGTTTAAAAAGAACCTGACAAGGGGATTTGAAGCAGATTGGATAGAGCTCGTATAAGGGGTGGACGCAGAATTGAGCACCCTGGAAACGTAAACCACAAGTCTTCGCAAATTCGCCATTACAATTCAGATTGTGGTTTCTGCAGAACCTAAACCCACGATCTCTCGCTTGTTCAGCCACTGGAGCTTAAATTCGCGTCGCTGTTGCAAACAAATTTATCGCCAACCAACAGAAAAGTAAAGGAGCGCCGCCCAAAATAAAGGAACAATTTTTCCTTGATTATTATGTAAACCAAGCACAGACGAGGCAGGGCAGGGGGGCGACGGTCGTGTCATTTCTTCGACCGAGGGGGCTAGGAGAGTCGGGTACTTTCACGCTGTGAGAGACTGTGGAGCGTTGGATCAATCGGATGTTTGACACAGTGACACGGAGCAGATGCCATGGCCCCCAACCCCACAAAAAAAAATTAAGGATTCCGCATAGTCACTGAGAAAAAATAAAATAAAATGAATTAAAAAAATAAAAATAAAAATAAGATAATTAAAAAAAATAGCAAACTATATTCGTATAAAGAAAATTAATTTATAAATTTAAAAATCATAATTCATAATATTTTTATATACAAAAATTAATTTATAAATTTAAGAATCATAATTTATAATATTTTTAAGGATGTGATAATTTTTACATTTATAATATATATTAATAAATTTTATTATATTGATGATTTTATTTATTTTTATATTAATTTTTTCAATCTATTTTATTTTATTTTAATAACCAAACAAGTCTATCCCATACGTTTTCTAAGAAATGTAATTGGTATTGTTGAGTTTTTAAAGACAAAATATTGCCGCAATATTCTCTACAATCGAAACAGTTTTACCCTGCCATAATAGAAAGCCCATGTTGATAGTTAATTTTGATTGTTTAACCTGCATACTGTATCACATCACTTGCCATGTTTGACATGGCTGTTTTAAAAATTAAAAAAATAATGATAAAACATAGAGGAGGATGAAAAGGGTTCTAGGCTTGTGAGATTAGTAAAGAGGGTGGACAAGTAGATCCACAACATAGATCTTCTCCTCCCTTCGATATGAATCAATTTCTCGTCTTCTGCAACTTCTCCTTCCTTCGTTCTTTTCTTATCCTAATCAAACCAATCACCCTTTCCCTTCCTCTTCTTTTTTTTTTTAACAATAAAGACGAACTTAGTTTAACACTTAAAGCTTGTTTGGTTCAAGAGAAGGGGAGGAAAGGAGAGGGGAGGTGAGAGAGAGGTAGGGAGGGGAGCTCCCCCCAATTTAAAGGGGAGGCTTTGGAGAGGAGGGGAGGGGCTCTCGTTAGGAGGAGGGGAGTTCCTCCCCTCCCCTCCTTTGGTTAGGAGGAGGGAGTCATTCCCCTCCCCCCCAACCAAACACGTCTTTAAGCGTATTATTACAGTTTAATAAAATTAAAGTAGTTAATCTATCTGACAAATCCATTATGTGATGTAGTCTAGGCCAACCGTTTCTAGCTTGCTTAGTCAGATGATTTGCCACAACATTTCCTTCCCTAAGGATGTGCCGTATGATTATCTCCCACTCACATTGAAGCATGCTTCGGATCTCCACTATTAAATTTTGATCATGATATTCATAAGAAACCTCCCCCCTCACAGCCTCAACTGCTTCTGAGGAGTTCGTCTCAATGTCAAGTCTTTTGTGTCCCCCGTCCCAAGCAACCTTCAAACCTATTATTAAAGCCCATAATTCAGTTGCAAGGCTATCTTCACCAACATAGCCAAACATGAACCCATCTAGCAAAGCACCTGTGTTGTCTTTGGTCACACCCCCACAACCTACTCTCCTTGTACGTGACGAAAAAGCTCTATACACAATTGGCGTGAGGGGGAGCAAGTGTGAAAAGTCAATTTTTTTCTTGAAAAAAAAAAAATCAATGCGCTTTTCACACTGGTTCTATAAACAATTGGCGTGGAAGGCACACTTTTCACCGCTGTTGTCGGCACGACCGGTACAAAAATTGTACCACACCTATTATTTGTTACAGCCAGTGTGAAAAGTGCCTTTTTTTTTTTTTGAGAGAGAGAGCATTTTATTCCAGATTGTAGGTGATTTTACAATCCAGAAAAATGCCCCTGCTTAAAAAAAAACAATAAAAATAAGCAAAAAAATGCTTTATTAATATTCAAATGAAAGCTTGATACATAATTATAAAAATATTTACAAAATTCAAAATACATGAAGTATGTTCCTACATAATTGGACTATATTAATGTAAGTGAAAGCTACTACTTCATCATGCGATAAATTGCAATGGGGTATCAGTACCAGGCATCCTTGATAATGCAAATGGTTGACCGTCACAGTTTTTGTCCATCTAGATAATAATATAAAACATGGAAAACAAATGCAACTTGATTGTCATACAAAGTCCAATAACATATAAGACAACATGACATATAAGTAATAATAACAGAGGATAATCATACAAAAGTTGATTATACTATTATAATGAAATAATGGTCATTTTTCAATCAATTTTATTCCCTCTACACTTATAAATTATCCAACTAAAGATTACAGCTCCACATCTGTAGATGGTCTCCCACCGCTAAGAATAATAGCTCTCACATATATCAACGAAGCTAAGTCAACTGATAATCTTACTCTTGTGGCAGGTTCACTGTGATTCTTTCTTATGCCCACATAAAAATCCCATGAACTTGATATTAATATATGTGCTTGCCCACACATAACAGCTCTTACCATATATTTACAGGGGAAAAAAAAGAAGAGTTGAAATCTTGAGTACCAAAATCTAGTTTGCAGGTGGAAATAGTATGATTGACCTATTCATTGTGACTCTCTGACACCTTATTTATCATCTCCATGCCCTCTTGTGTTCTTGGACAAGCATAAAATTTCTAATTAAACATCCATTGAAAAAACAATTAAAGTAGCATGTTAGAGGACAAGGATTCTCTCCTGGTGAGAGTTCATCCTGGTCTCTCCTGCCTCCACCCCCACATTGTGAGAGCAGGAGGGACCAGGATGGATTCTCACCAGGAGAGAACCCATTCCCTTAGCACCCAACTAATAAAATGAAAATTGTTCACTAATCTGTTCACTGTGATCCTGGGAGTAGACCACACGACTTGCAGTAGGTGGCAGAAACATAGAAGACCAGCACATGCACGCCATAGCTCAGAATCTAATCTTTTTTCTCCCCTGCAGAATCACAAGCTAATACAATGTGTGTATAACATTTTAATTTGCACACTCAAATAATTTGTCAAGCTTATCGCGTCTTTTTAGTTAGGGGCATTTAATTTTGGATTGGAGGTGATTTAAACCATCATCAATCCAAAAAATCCTCTTTTTATCATTATATACATTTTAACAGATATTATAACAAATAATAATTTTATAAATTATATTCATGATATAAACATGTTTCAAGAGAGTTATTTCAATATCGTTATAGAAGTTTCAACGGATCGAAGCTGAATAAAAAGATCCAGTTAATTACCTAGCGTCTTCAAGTCTAGTATTGGTATTCTTGAGATCAAAGGATGCTTTGTCCTGTCAAGAAAATAAATAATTTCCATGCCATATTAATTAATTCCAACTTTCAAATTCCAATTCTGACAACTTAAATTTTGAGGCCAATAAGTACTCGGAAAAATCAAGAAGGGCCAAGTATATTAAAGATAAAATAAGAGTATTCTTCCATCGTTAACTAGTAGGGATAACTGCATATAAATTAACATTTCGTATAAATTATGCAAACTTGCCTTCTAAAAATCATTATTTTCTATATTATGGTTCCATGGACAATTAATGAGATGTCAAATGTTGTGTTCTGCAGTTAACAGAAATTCAACTATCGGTACATCACAATAATCAATGCAAGTGTAAATTATTACTTCATTACAAATCTTGAAAAATTATAAACAGAAAACAAGCATTAACACTTTTTATGGAACAAGAGTTCTCTTCAAACGTATTAGCTAAATAGTAGCTACATCTTTGCTATTGAACCTAACAAGACATCTTGAGAACTCTACTCAGTACTTAGAAGACATGGTTTTGCAGCTTTCCTGACAATAATTGAATCACATCTATTGAAAAAAATCCAAAAAATAAGTTAATCAACGTGCTTGTCACTTCCCAGAAGAGATTCAATGCATTTATCAATTATAATATTGAGTAAATAACAAAAAGGTTCTTAACATCATTTAGTCACCCATGTGAATGCACTGGCCCATCGCTTATCATACCTCTGGTCTCGAATTAAGAACTCCAGTAGACATTCTAACATCCACACGCCAATGCGCCATATGCTCTAAATGTATGTATTGCAGAAGGAAAAAGACTTGAGTTCAGTGCAATTACTTCCAGGCCCAATGATACAGCCTAACTCGTGAAAATGAATGGAAGGTGTAATTAAATTTACTTGACCGTTATATTACAGCTTCTCAAATTCAACTTCAACTTTAGCACGTTCTCCTCTCTGAAAAAAGTCAAAGAATTATTATCCTCTCCACAGAAGTAGCCTTGATCAATCCAAAACAATAAAGGACAAAAAGCCTTACTATTAGGAGTTAAACTCCCAAAAATACCCCTTACTACTGGAGGTGAAACCTACAAATGAAAATAATGTGATCCCTAATGTAAAAAATAATACTTGTTTTATCATCTCATATGTCTCGGTTACATAAAGAGCAGCAATAGGAGGGCCAAATCACATCCCAGTGCCAACAAATGACCTCCCGAGAAGCATACTCCGCAGGCCCTTTTTTTTTTTTTTTTGTCGCACAACAAGATTTGTGATTTATAAGTTTATAGCTTTATCATTTTATTTTGCAAACGAAAGCAAGAAATATAATAACAACAACAAATTAGTGGAATTCGTGGCTTGGAAAATGAACAAAAAAATCTATAGAATGCCAAGATAGATGATAATATGAAATAACTCAAGCAACAAAAATAAGTTGCAGCAGAGGATCAGAATAAGAATAAGCACGAGTAGAAGAATTGATGGCGAAGGGAGAAGCAGTAACGACGCGAGCAATGGAGCGAAGATGAACTGGAGAACGAGCAGCGGAGAACGACGAGGAACAGAGAATGGCACTAGCTAGCAGCGTCTTGAAACTGATGACGTTTCAAGTGACGAGGAGAAAAATCTAGAAGGCGACGCGGCGATACAGAACGAGACTCAACACCGCTTATGTGTCTGAACAGAGAGAGGGAAGGGAGGACGCAGGCGAGTCGGGTCGAAATTATAACATGCTAGGTTAATGTGATTTTTTTTTTTTTTAACACCGGTTAAAATCATAAGAGGGGTTGAAAGTCAATCAAAATTTCAATTTATTTATAAAAATACCACTGACCATATTTTTAAGATCGGTTTTAACTGCAGCAAGAAAAAAAAATCAACAAAAACTTTAACTTATTTATAAAAATGCCGCCACAGTTACTTTTAACACCTATTACTTTTTAACAGGTTTAAAAGAAGGCGTATAAAGCTATTTATGTACTAATGCAAGTAGTTCGTGGTTTGGATTCTTGGTTTCAGAAAATCCCTCTCTCAAATTTATGCTTTGGACCTTGGATTTGTGCAATATGCAGTTTTGGTAAAATTGATGTGGATTTATGTTTTCGTTTTAACTTGCAATTAAGAGATATTGATATGATTTAGGTAGAACTCTTGAAATGAACTTTTAAAAATATGCATGTGATTCACAGAGTTCTTTGTAGATTTAATCTCAAACAACTTCACGAGGACGGCAACCATGCGAAGATAATGGTGACAAAAGCTCGTGTGTATTTTGGAACTTTCGATTTTGAGTTTTTGGGTTCAATCTCAAATAACCTTGGACAGCGATGATTATGGGTTTCTAGATTCTGAGCAAGAATTTATTGATTTTATTATTTGATCTAATGATTTTGACTAAAATATGGAAGGGGCAAGGGAATTACTTTGAGATATTGTTCATGAGTCGAAGAAGTTTCATGTTTCTTGGCTACTTTTGCTAAGTATTATTATGTTTCATGGCTGCTTTTGCGTTCTCCATACAAATGTTCCTTCTTCAATATTTTCTTCCTTTATCGAACCACCAAAAATAAGCAGCTTACAATCAAAGTGCCTTTGTTTAATTCAACGTAAGAATTGGGCTCTAGACTTATGAGATTATTCAAGGATTGTTCATGGTTGTTAGAATCAAAGAAAAAGGAAGGAGGCAGAAAAAAGAATTGAATAAAACATATTAAAAATGGGTCTCACTTTCACGCATGAACCTTCACGTGACCTATCAGCTAGGCATTTAACAGTCAAGATCAAGAGTTAATAGTTAATATAGTCAAACCGTTAGGCCAATGCAAAATTGTGTGGTTTTAAAGATGTCAAGGCTACCTTGCATCTTTAAAAATATTAGAATACTAATTACAACTCTTTGAAAATGTCTCAGGTAACTCAAAACTTAATACACAAGCTCTTATAATTCAACTCAAGTTTAAATCAAGTCCTTATAGTTTATATATACTTATGGATGGTGAACAGAGATTAAAGATTTCATGTCTTCAATATATTTTATCCATACTATACATAAGCTTGCAAACGAACGATAGCTTCTACAAAATTTTCATTGCTTTTCGAAGATCGGTGCTTCCTTTTTTGTCAACGATTTTATCTGTCTATCTATGAAGGTTTCAAGACATATGATAATTGGAGTTTATGTAACCTGGAAAATGGAAATTCACTATAGCAAGATATGCTTTTTAAACCCACATATCTAAACCGGCTAATGCACCAATGATTTGAAAATAGGCGGCAGCGACATTCTTGTAAATAAAAAAGAAGGTGGGATAATTTTTAAACCAAATAACAAAAGAGTCAATTTAAAAATTGATATCTAAACTCATTATAAATCATAAATGGTTTAGATATATATTTATATTTTAATATATTTTTTTAAAGAGATATCTAAGCTGGTTATTAATAGTAACTGGTTTGGATAATGATTTGTAACTTTTAAAAACAATTTTTCTGCAAAAGAGGGGTGCTGCGCATGTGGTTTAGAAAAAAGAAATGATGGGATTTTTGTAAATAAATGGTGAGGGAGCTGATTTTCTAAACTGTTTACACATATGGTTTAGATAATATTTTCCAAACCAGTTCTACAGGCAACCGGTTTAGATAAATTTTAGATAATATTTAAGAAAACAAGCAAACAAAATATTTTAAAAAAATAAAAATAAAAAAGCCTAACCCTTTTCACTCTCGCTCTCGTGTTCTAGCTCATGCGCTCACTCTCACTCTGCCTTGCCATCGCAGCCTCTTCACCATCATCATCACGTGCTTCCCCGACTCCATTCTTCAAGCAACCCTCATCTTCTTCTTCTCAGATCTCACTCAAACGACTCGTGCTCTTCTTCTTTAGCAAATCACCCACGTCCTAGCTCATCTCATCGTCGTCTTTTCATTGAGCATTCTCCAATGTGTTTCCCTCTAGGTTGCATAGATGCGGGTATGAGTATTCAATACGATACGGATGATATGAGGATACGGCAAATTTTTAAAATTTTAGAATACAAGTACGGAATATTTATAATGTATATTTCAACATTTTATGATATAAATATAGATATTTTGATTTTTAAACAAGAATTTCTAAAGTAATATAAGGATATTTATAGTAATTAACTAAAATATTAAATATTTTTTTAAGTTTTTAAGTGACATAGTAAAAAAATATTGAAAAAAAAATCATATCACAAATGTTAAAACATGAGATACGTATGCAGGAGTACCCTACAAGTATCATATCGGATACGTATTAAATACGAGTACATTTACTTTTTTTAAGTATCCGTGCTACATAGGTTTCCCTCTTTTTGTGGCCTCCACCTTCTCAATCATTTATTTCTTGAGGAAGCTATGATAGTCTTAGGGTTTTGAAATTTTGAGCATTTTGGGCATCCTAGCAATTTCATTTGTCATTATTTGTTATTGGTATCATTCTTTTGATTTTGTTGCTGTCAATTTCACCTGTCATTAGTTGAAGCTGTTGAGAATCATAAGAGAGTGAGTTCTTTCGGTGACTTCAGACGTACCTTAAGCATTTTAATTTTTGGGTCCTTCAATTTTATTAGATTATCAGTTCTTCATTTATGCTATTCCTGTCCAAAATTTTAGTTTCATTTTTGGTGAAACTCCCTGCCTCAATATCATCGTTGTTTCTTGCTTGGGGTGAGTTTTTGATTTCCACTCATTATAATTTCAAGTTTTAAGTATCCAATTGAATGATGGTCCTTTCTTTAAATTAGTTTCAAGTTTTAATCTTTCAAGTTTTATTATATTTTCTTTATGTACTTGTTCTTGCTACTAGTTTGAGTGAATAGTTCTAATTTTGTATAATTAGCTAATTTGTCTTTGAGAATTTGATTTTAGGTGTCACCTGAGGAAGTTATATATGAAAGCAGAGATGAACAGTTTTATCTTAGTCCTCCCTAGGCTTGAACTGGCTTTGTCTCCAAAATTGATAAAATTGTGATTTAATGTTGAAACATGATTTGTTGCAGCCTACAGGGTTGTCCAAAGAAGCTCAGAAAGCACTTAAACAAATACTCATTAAATGGTTCTCATGTGAGTTCTCATTTGAAAGTTGTTTTTATCATGTGATTTCTCTCTCTTTTTCTTGTAATTGCCAGATTACATGTATTAGCTAGTAATGCAATAGTAATTTTACTTTTATTTTTCTATTTATTTGGGATTTTTTAAAAAAAAATTGAACAATAGATAAGAGGAGTATTACTAGTTTCTGGTATATTCTTAATTCTTAGCTAGTGTTCTCGTTACGGTTTTCATTCCTAATAGTATTTCCTGTTCCTAACTCCTAGTGCTTGCATGCCTACTTATCTCTTTGAAATTCTTACTTTAATGGAAGAAATGAGCTATATTGCTATAATCACATACGTAGCTTCAATAGTTCTTTAGAGGATGCTATTGTTATTAATGGTATCTTTATTTTTGAATGGTTTGATGAACATTATGTATAGATCTTTTATGCTTAGAAAACCTCAGTTTCTTGGTCTGGGCCTTGCTGGATAATTCTACAAAACTTTACACATGTTCAAGGATATGTTGATAACATGTTTTGGTTGTGAAAGTTATTTGAAATAAAAATTTGTTTTAGCTTCGTTTAATTTTTCAATGGCTACTGAAAGAGATTTGCTTCCATATTAATATTATTAAAGAAATAGGTGTGAACAATGCTGTTGCAACAGGAGAGGGACGGGGCTATAAATCTACCTCACACATGTGAAATATATCAATATCTCAAAACATTGATTATCTTTATTTCTTTTTATTTTAAACCTTCATCATATATTTAAATCATAGTGTGCTGGATTTCCCTAGAATTCTAGATATTAGTATGAAAAATGCTTCTGAATTATCTATCATATTGTCAATCATCTATCACATTTGTTGAACTAGCTGACGTTTGCAAATTTTTGTAATTTTTTTTTCTTTGGCCCATATGATTATGGTTTTACATTCTATAGCATATTCCTTATAAGATAACTGTATGTGCATTTCAAATTATGGGATAAAAGATATACACTCATGAAATTCACTCTATGCTGCAAGGATTAATAATTTCTGCAGCATTCTATTGTTACAAGTATTGGCAATTTAGGAGTTTTGTTTTACTTATCGTAAGTGAATGGTGAAAGGTTTATTCGGATACATTCATTCAAAATGATTTTATAATTGTTTTGTAAATGCTCAGGAGAAGATGAAATTATATGTTCCTAGAGTCTCTTTTTATGATAATGTTATTTGATCATGATATTGTTCAATATAAAATCTCAAAATATGTTCATATTTATTTTTTTTTATGTTATTTAAATGTAAATGCATCTCTTTAGATTGAAGGGGATTTGTTTTTTTTTTAAATAGGGGTATTTTTGGGATTGGAAATTACCTCCAATCCAAAAAAATACCTCCATTTTTTTTAAAAAAATAACACTATCTAAAATGGTTATAATTGGTTTAGAAAGTGATTTTTTTTAAAAAAAAAAGGTTTTTTCTTTCTTTTATGGCACCCTTTTCTAAACCCATTTTAGAACCAATTTAGAAAATATCAATTCTAAACCGGTTTAGAAAGTGATAGAC